GTAGTTTGTCCACGTTTATTAGCGTTAGCGTAAGAAAATTTATTTGCATCACTTTGCAAGGCTTATCATGCATAACTTATTTGTGAGACGGGTCACGAGCAGAAATCGCCACTTTTCATTTTTTTGGAAATCCCATAATTTCAGTGTATAGACACATATAGCACATTTTCATATAATCATTATTTCGGCCCAAAATACTTTAGATGTTAAACAAACTTTATATAGAATAAAATAGAAGGTTATACGTACAGAGGCCCAGAACCTAGAATGTCCTAAACTAAATTTGGTCAATAGATTGCATTTTGCGATAGAAAGCCTATATGCATTTATGATGTGATTGCTGTTTGAGTGCTCAATTTCTATTTAAAGTAAGTCTCAATATGCCACGTACTATTTTTTTTTCTATACATTCTAAAATAAGTTCTTGGCATGTTCCTTAATAATGACTTTTCTTATAGTGAATGATTCGAGTAATTTTTACACGTTTTATTGATAAAATGTTCCCAGCAAAAGGAGCTATTGGTTTGATATATTAAATACGCAAAACGTTTATTCCCCTCAAAAAAGTTTATTTCTTAAAAATGACTGTCGAAGGTGAATTTGTCTCTGTTCTCGTACGATACTCTACAACAATGCTAGGAAACATCCTTGAGTGGGATGTTATAGAGGTACTAAAAATGCTCGGCTTTAAAAGAGTCGATCATTTTACAGGAAATGGAATGGAATATATTCATAGAGGGTGAGTTTTCTCTCATTGAGTATTTGTTGAGTTATCGTGTATCTGAAGGTACGCTGTCACGTCGGTGTAAAATATCTAAGGAAGAATTTGAAAGCTCTTCGTGGCCACAGTTTTTTTTACTGTGAACGTTCTTCTCCTTAGTTACTCGATGATCCTTACGCGGAGGAGACTGATGAATAGGATACGCGCTAACCAATGAAAGCACTCACCGTTGAATACCCCCGATCCGGCGTGTTTCTCTTTGGTTGTTAATAACGATGACACAATACTCATTTGTTTTTTTTTCTTGCAGGGGACCAAACGATGGCGGAGTAGATATAATTTGTGATATTAGAGGAATTAAGCTCATAATTCAGTGCAAAAATTGGACCAATTCAATAGGTTTGCATAATATTATTTAATCATTTTTTTCTATTATATATTTATGTTATTAATGTTATAATATTACAGGACCCGCCATCGTTCGTGAGCTTAAGGGTGTGGTGGGCGAAGAACCAGGTTCGATCGGAATTCTGGTAGCCCCCTTTATGGATTTTACAGATGAAGCAATAAAATCGGCCAGGACATCTCGATTCCCTATCATCTTTACCGACGTATCCCATCTTCAAAAAATTATCCTTCATCTTGCCGTCGATTCATTATACCGAAAACCTCGAAGACGTTTCAATTTTACCTTTTATTATGACCTTTCAACCCATTAATTCCGTTATATATGTATCTGCCGATTTTACTTTTTCCCCTTAACCATTAATTCCGTCCCCACTTCTATACCATTAATTTCGTTCTTACTTTCGTCATTCTTTATATAACTATCAATTTCATCCCTACTCTTGTCATTCCTTAATTCCAAATCCACCAAAGTGTGGTACACGGGTCACTTGAGTATTGACCTCCACGTGGTGTGACCTGGATAACCAACCAACAAATGCTCATTTTTAATTTTATATTTGTATATTTTAATAATTTTTAATCTAACGTATCTGATTTATTGATAAATACTAGTATCGTGAATAGCGAAGTATCCTAAATCAAGATTAGCAAAATAACTTGGGTAATTTTTTATCAGAAAATTAACACTGGACTGAAGACTGAAGCTTTATTTTGTTTAAATGTGCAAATTTCTGAATATGTATATTTTTATTCTGTATTTTGGTTTGATTTTTTTTATCGTATCAATAAAGCTGGCCCTGGTGGTGTCCCGCCTCGGCAATTAGAAAAATAGTTTTTTTTTGCAGTTGTACGATATTTTCAAAAATATATTATTAATAAAAGTTTTACCCATGTCCCACGTGTTAACGATAACCTGGTGACATGT